ACGCGTTGTCGTTTATTTGTACTAAACTCGAGCTGTAGGGCAGCTACAGAGCTTGTGAGCACAGCTATCGCACTCAGAATCATCAGGCGCGTTCGCCTGTTGAATCCATAGGGCTGAACTCGGTCTGCTAGCCGAGCTAGGTCCGCAAACGTATTCGTATTATTCGAGTGAACTTGATACGCGTTGTCAGTATTTTCTACTTCACTCGAGCTGTAGTGCAGCTAGAGTGCTGCCGTGAACACACTCAAATCGCACTCAGAATGAATCATCAGCGCGTTCGCCTGAGGAATCCATAGGGCTGAACTCGGTCTGCCTGCCGAGCTAGGTCCGCACACCTATTCGTTTATTAGGGGTTTCCCTGCTTGATTCACCGCGTTGGTTGGGTATTTGTTACTAAATTCGAGTGCCAGGGCAGCTACAGAAGATGGTAGACATCCATCGTCGATCAGAAATCATCAGGCGCGTTCGCCTCTTGACTCCAGAGGTCTGAACTCGGTCTGCTAGCCGAGCTAGGTCCGCAAATCTATTCGTATTATTCGAGTCATCTTGACAAGCGTTCTGTAGGGCAGCTACAGGGCCTATAGTCACAGAAATCGATTGGGAATTATCGGGCGCGTTTGTCTGTTGTATCGAGAGCTCTGAACTCGGCCTGCTGCCCGAGCTAGGTTCGCGAAGCTATTCGTATTGTCCGAATCATCGTGAAAAGTGCTCTTAATTTTCTGCACTCAACTCGTGCTGGGGGAGGGCTACAGTGCTGCGGGTCATAGAAATTTGCACACATCAGGCGCGTTCGTTGGTCGATTCGAGAGCTCAGAACTTGGTCTGCTGCTCGAAACAGGTCCGCGAAACTATTGTATTATTCGAGTCATTCTGAGAGATGCTGTCGGTCTTCTGCACTTAACTCGGGCTGTAGGGGGGCTGCAGGGCTGGTAATCACATAAGTCGATTCGCAGACATCAGACGCGTCCGCCTGTCGCATTGAGAGGTCTGAACTCGGTCTGATACTCGAACTGGGTTGCGAACACTGTTGTTGTTTTGTCAGAGTCATTTGAGAGGTCTGAAATCGCCTTGGCTGAAAACTAGGGTGTCTCTGGATTTTTCCACATTATATACTGTCAGGAAGCTCTACGAGTCCCCCGGCGGTAAGAAAGGTTGACGGTTTACCGCGGGCGCCCAGTTTTGTTCTCGAAATTCAACTATTTGTTTGAGCTCTAGTTTTTTTTCCGTCATATTCGATCTTATTCCCGCTCGCCATCTTGATCTCAGCTCGATCGGATACATTTTACTGCCAAAAAGCGTCCGGCGGGAACAGCCGTTTCGAGTCATCTTGATACGCGTTGTCGGTATCTTCTCCTTAACTCGAGCTGTACGGCAGCTACAGAGCTGGTAAGCACGCCCATCGCATTCAGAGTTATCAGGCGCGTTCGCCCGTTGAATCCAGAGGTCTGAACTCGGTCTGCTAGCCGAGCTAGGTCCGTAAACCTATTCGTATTATTCGAGTCGTCTTGACAGACGCTCTCGGTTTCTGTACTTAACTCGAGCTGCAGGGCAGCTACAGAGCTGGTACGCGCACTTATCGCATTCAGAATTATCAGGCGCGCTCGCCTGTTGAATCGAGAGGTCTGAACTCGGTCTGCTAGCCGAGCTAGGTCCGCAAACCTATTCGTATTATTCGAGTCGTCTTGACAGGCGCTCTCGGTTTTCTGTACTTAACTCGAGCTGTGGCAGCTACAGGGCTCATTGTCACAGACATCGATGGGGAATTATCAGTCGCGTTCATCTATAGAACCGAGAGCTCTGAACTCGGCCTGCTGCCCGAGCTAGGTTCGCGAAACTATTCGTATTGTCCGAATCATCTTGAGAAGTGCTTTCAATTTTCTGCACTGAACCCGTGCTGGGGGAGGAATGCAGTGCTGCGGGTCACAGATATCGATTTGCACACATCAGGCGCGTCTGTTGGTCGATTCCAGAGCTCGGAACTCGGTCTGCTGCTCGAACTAGGTCCGCGAAGCTATTCTATTATTCGAGTCAATACTGTCGGTTTTCTGCACTCAACTCGGGCTGTAGGGGAGCTGCAGGGCTGGGAATCACATGAGTGGATTCGCAGACATCAGACGCGCCCGCCTGTCGTATTCAGAGGTCTGAACTCGGTTCGATACTCGAACTGGGTTGCGAAACTGTTTGTTTTTTGGTTAGAGTCATCTTGAGAGGTCTGAAATCGCTTGGGCTGAAAAACTAGTCGTTCTTTGGAGTTTTTTCCACAGTATATACTGTCAGGAAGCTCTACGAGTCCCCCGGCGGTAAGAAAGGTTGACGCCGCCGGCGCCCAGTATTTTTTCCCGCGATATTTGATGTTATCCCCGCTCGCCACCTTGATCTCAGCTCGATCGGGTACCTCTTACCGCCAAAAAGCGTCCCGGCGGGATCGGCTGTTTCGAGTCATCTCGATACGCGTTGTCGGTATTTTGTACTTAACTCGCGCTCTAGGGCAGCTATAGAGCTGGTAAGCACACCTATCGCATTCAGAATTATGGGGCGTGTTTGCTTGTTGAACCCAGAGGTCTGGACTCGGTCTGCTAGCCGAGCTAGGTCCGCAAACCTATTCGCATTATTCGAGTCATCTTCACAGACGCTCTCGGTATTCTGTACTCAATTCGAGCTGTAGGGCAGCTAGAGAGCTCATGGTCACAGAGATCGATTGGAAATCATCAGACGCGTTGGTCTGTTGAATCGAGAGCCTTCAACTCGGTCTCTTGTTTGAGCTAAGTTTCAGACACTATTCGTATTGTTCGAGTTATCTTGAGAAGTGCTTGGATTTCTGCACTGAACTGTGCTGGGAGCGGGCTACAGTGCTGCTGGTCACAGAAATCGATTTGAAGACATCAGGCACGTCCTTCTGTCGAACCGAGAGCTCGGAACTCAGTCTGCTGCTCGAACTAGGTTCGCGAATCTATTGTATTATCCGAGTCATCCTGAGACCTGCCGTCGGTTTTCTGCACTTAACTCGGGCTGTAGGCGGGCTGTAGGGCTGGTAATCATATTAGTCGATTCGCAGACATCAGACGCGTCCGCCTGTCGCATTCAAAGGTCTGAACTCGGTTCGATACTCGAACTGGGTTGCCAAACTGTTCGTTTTTTGTTAGAGTCATCTTGAGAGGTCTAAAATCGCTTGGGCTGAAAAAATTGTCGTTCTCTGCAATTCTTTCCCACATTATATACTGTCTGGAAGCTCTACGAGTCCCCCGGCGGTAAGAAAGGTTGACGGTTTACCGCCGGCGCCCAGTTGGCCCAGCCGGCCGAGGCGGACAATGTGATAATTTGTGGGTGGTTTTGCGAAAATTTGACAGATATTTGACCATTTATTTCGAGAAATCAGATTTTCACGCCGAGCATTGGCATATAAACTCTTCTCTGACAGCAGCTCAGCTCTCTCGATCCATTTTTGCATGAGTTGACTTCCAGGAACTGAGCGAATATGAACATTGAAAAAATCGAATTTGAAGATTTTCGAAAAATCTCAAGTTTTTGATTCTGTGTCGATTCTCTGCGCTCTTACCAGTGAGAGGAGCTCTACGAGGTTCCCGGCGGTGACCAGATTGACGGTTCACCGCCGGCGCCAGTTCCGGGGCGCTGGAGAGCTAGTTGGCAAGGAAAATCTCGACGGACCTTTTGCTGACTTTTGGTCGGTTGAAAATTTGGTTCTCAAAATTCAACAATTCGTTTGAGCTCTAGTTTTTTTTTCCCGTGATATTCGATCTTCTTCCCGCTCGCCATCTTGATCTCAGCTCGATCGGTTACCTTTTACTGCCAAAAAGCACACGGGCGGGATCGGCCGTTTCGAGTCATCTTGTCACGCGGTGTCGGTTTTCTCAAGATAACTCGAGCTTCAGGACAGCTAAAGAGCTGGTAAGCACAGCTAATCGATTCAGAATGATCAGGCGCGTTCGGCTGTTGAAGCCAGAGGTCTGAATTCGGTCTGCCAGCCGAGCTAGGTGCGCAAACCTATTCGTATTATTCGAGTCATCTTGACAGACGCTCTCGGTTTTCTGTTCTTAACTCGAGCTACAGGACCGCTAAAGAGCCGCTACGTACAGAATCTAATTCAGAATCATCAGTGGCCGTTGTCTGTTGAATCCAGAGCTCTGAACTCGGTCTGCTGCCCGATCTAGAATCGCGATACTATTCGTATTGTTCGAGTCACTTGCGAGATACTGTCGGTTCTCTGCACTTAACTCGGGCTGTAGGGGGGCTGCATGGCTGATAATCACTGGAATCGATTCGGAGACATCAGGCGCGTTCGCCTGCGGAATCCAGAGCTCCGACTTCGGTCTGTTGCCCGAACTAGGTCCGCGAAACTATTCGTATTGTTCGAGTCATCCTGAGAGATGCTGTCGGTTTCCTGCACTTAACTCGGCTGCAGGGGGGGCTGCAGGGCTGGTAATCACAGGGATCGATTCAGAGACATCAGACGCGTCCGCCTGTCGCATGCAGAGGTCTGAACTCGGTCTGATGCTCGAACTAGGTTTGCCAAACTATTCGTATTGTTCGAGTCATCCTGAGAGGTGCTGTCGATTTACGCGCGTAACTCGGGCTGTAGGAGAGCTACAGAGCTCGTACAGAAAACAATCTAGAAGCATCGGCGGCGTTCGTCTTTTGCATCCGAGAGGTCTTAAATTGCCTGGGCTGAAAAATTATTTTTTCTGTGTAATTTCTTTCGACATTATGTGTTGTCAGGAAGCTCTACGAGTCCCCCGGCGTCTCGGCTCAAGGCGCTTGACATTTGATCCCCTCTGCCTGGGTAACCTCCAGTGGGATCGAGTGCGCGTCAGGGAGTCACACGTTTGCCGCCTAGAGTGATATTGCACTGCCATTCATTTGACACGTTTGATCGCCTTGAGTGGTCTTCAATTGATTTGTTTCACACGTTTGTCGCCTAGAGTGATATTGCGCTGCCATTCATTTGACACGTTTGTTCGCCTTGTGTTGTCTTCAATTGATTTGTTTTGCTGGGTGCTTCCGAGGCAGTCTCTGCAATCTTCCGTTATGCCACACGTGCGGAGTGCAAGTGCTCGCATTATGCGTCGGGCGCTGGCTGTTCAAAACGGATACTGTGTGCATTTACCTATTCGTTTGCCCCTGGATGGTTTGGTGCCACCTACGTGTCTCCCACCACCAGGGCTGGAGCGGGCGACTGCCGATTTGGTTCTAGATTATCTCTTGTTGCGCGATCCACCTGTTGTTAAACGCAGTTTGGAGGAGGAGGAGGCTGACATTAAGACTGTTTCGGAGAATCTTTCTTGCCGTATGCAGGCTTCTGAATCGCTGGTTGATGTAGATATTGGAGTGCAGGCTTCTGAATCGCTGGTTGATGTTGGAGTGCAGACGGTTGATGTTGCGGACTTTCATTGTGAAGTCGGCTGTCAGACAGATAGTGTCGTTGGGATGGAGGGAGGAGCTTCAGGAGTTCTTCTTGGGAAAGTGACTGCGGCGGCGGAGGTGGATCTGGAGGCACCCTCGAGTGCGGAGTCTTCTCCGAACGTGCAGTCTGATTCTGATAGCCGCGCCTTGTCAGGAGCGTCCCAGGGGCGTCTGAATCGTCCCGTCACGCTCAATGAGGTATCGAAGGAGTCGCGCCAGAGGACTCGAGGGAGAGATCGTGACAAGGTCAAGGGGACAACGACGTGCTCTCAGGCCACCATTGCCGATGTCAAAGCGTGGATTGACGCTGTTGCCAGCATCAACGAGTTGAATGCGATCCAGTATTTAAAGAACGGAATGGATTTGTTTGATAAGCTGGTGACAGAACGTGGGTTCCCTACAAAGAAGGCCCAAAAAGATTATGCTCGGAAACTGTATGAGATGCTCCAGACTGTGCAAGCGACGCTGGAGGATCTTCTCGGATTCTTCGAGGTGCACAGGTTCTTGACAGGACAAATGAACCGCGCCGAGATGGCCAAGTTTCTTGAGGTTTCCAAGTGCAGCGATTACCGAATAATATTCTTCGGACGCCCGAGGAGTTTCGACAAGTTGGGATGAAGCTATTCGTGCGCACTTGTAGGCAACTTTCGGTTTAGAACAGCGAAGGCTGTAATGCTTGTATCTCACCTGTTCTTGTTTTCCTCACTTTATCTCTCTGTTTGACCTCTCGCTGGAGCCATGATGGCTCTACGGCCCGCTGTGGGCCCCACTGAGCGCTTCAGGTGTGTAAAGGGCAGGAGCCCCTCATATTCTTCAGGTGACGTTCTTCCAGGGGTTGTTTCCCCGTCTAATTCGTTGATTACTTCACATGTGACGTTGAGCATACGCCTCTTGTCATGCGGCGGGTTGAACATGCGTATTTCGGACTGGTTTGATGTGAATAAGAGTTTGTGCTCACTCACGCCTTGCCTGTTTGGATACGTCCGCTCCTTGCTCCGACTAGGCTGGAAAGCCTGCACAGTCGACCGCAAAGTCCGCAAAAGAAAGGTTGACGGTTTACCGCCGGCGCCCAGTTCGAAAACGCTGGCAGGCTAGTTGGCTCGAAAAATCTCGACTGAACTTTTCACAACTTTGGCTCGGTTGAAAATCATGTTCTCGAAATTCAACAATTCGTTTGAGCTCTAGTATTTTTTCCCGTGATATTCGATCTTATTCCCGCTCGCCATCTTGATCTCAGCTCGATCGGGTGAATATTACTATCGGAAAGCACTGTGGCGGGATCGGCCGTTTCGAGTCATCTTGATACGCACTGACAGTTTTCTGAACATAACTCGAGCTTTAGGACAGCTACAGAGCTGGTTAGCACAGCTAATCGATGTAGAATAATTAGGCGCGTTCGCCTGTTGAATCCAGAGGTCTGAACTCGGTCTGCTAGCCGAGCTAGGTCCGCAAACCTATTCATATTATTCGAGTCATTTTGACAGACGCTCGGTTTTCTGTACTTAACTCGAGCTGTAGGACAGCTACAGAGCTGGTAAGCACAGCTAATCGATGTAGAATGAGAAGGCGCCTTCGCCTGTTGAATCCAGAGGTATGAACTTGGTCTGTTAGCCGAGTTAGGTCTGCAAACCTATTCGTATTAGTCGAGTCATCTTGACAGGAACTCTCGGTTTTCTGTACTTAACTCGAGCTGTAGGACAGCTGAGATTTACAGAAACCGATTGAAAGTCATTAGTTGCGTTTGTCTGTCGAATCGAGAGCTCTGAACTCGGTCTGCTGCCCGATCTAGAATCGCGAAACTATTCGTATTGGACGAGTCATCTAGAGAAGTGCTCTCGGTTTTCTGCACTCAACTCGCGCTGAGGGGGGCTGCAGTGCTGGTGGTCACAGGAATCGATTTGAAGACATCAGGCACGTCCACCTGTCGAATCCAGAGCTCAGAACTCGGTCTGCTGCAGGGGGGCTGCAGGGCTGGTAATGACAGGAGTCGATTCGCAGACATCAGACGCGTCCGCCTGTCGCATTCAAAGGTCAAAAAATCTTCACTATGAGTCCGAATATTGGTAGGTGCTGTCGGTTTTCTCAACATAAGTCGAGCTAGGAAGCTCTACGAGTCTCCCGGCGGTAACCAAGGTTGACGGTTTACCGCCGGCGCCCAGTAGTCCTAGATCTTCCCTCAGCAAGTAACTCGTAGAGCTTCCCTTAGCAAGTTATTGCTGGAAGCCAAGAGTAATTCCGGCGCGCTGGAGAGCTAGTTGGCAAGAAAAATCTCGACGGAACTTTTGCTGACTTTTGGTCGGTTGAAAATTTTGTTCTCGAAATTCAACAATTCGTTAGAGCTCTAGTACTTTTTCCCGTGATATTCGATCTTATTCTCGCTCGCCATCTTGATCTCAGCTCGATCGGGTGAATATTACTATCGAAAAGCACTGTGGCGGGATCGGCCGTTTCGACTCATCTTGATACGCGCTGACGGTTTTCTCAACATAACTCGAGCTTTAGGACAGCTACAGAGCTGGTAAGCACAGCTAATCGATGTAGAATGAGAAGGCGCGTTCGCCTGTTGAATCCAGAGGTCTGATCCCGGTCTGGTAGCCGAGCTAGGTTCGCAAACCTATTCGTATTGTTGGAGTCATCTTGACAGGAACTCTCGGTTTTCTGATCCTAACTCGAGCTGTAGGACAGCTACAGAGCTGATATTCACAGAAACCGATTGAGGATCATCAGTTGCGTTTGTCTGTCGAATCCAGAGCTCTCAACCCGGTTTGCTGCCCGATCTAGAATCGCGAAACTATTCGTATTTGTCGAGTCATCTTGAGAAGTGCTCTCGGTTTCTTGACTCAACTCGCGCTGAGGGGGCTACAGGGCTGGTGGTCACATGAATTGATTTCAAGACATCAGGCGCGTCCGCCTGTCGAATCCAGAGCTCGGAACTCGGTCTGCTGCCGAATTAGGCATGCAAAACTAATGTATTGTTCGAGTCATCCTGAGAGGTGCTGTTGGTTTTCTGCACTTAACTTGGGCTGTAGGGGGGGTGCAGGGCTGGTAATGACAGGAGTCGATTCGCAGAGTCTGCCTGTCGCATTCAGAGGTCAAAAAATATTCACTATAAGTCGGAATGTTGGTAGGTGCTGTCGGTTTTCTCAACTTTTAAGTCGAGCTAGGAAGCTCTACGAGTCTCCCGGCGGTAACCAAGGTTGACGGTTTACCGCCGGCGCCCAGTTATTGCTGGAAGCTCAAGAGTAATTCCGGCGCGCTGGAGAGCTAGTTGGCAAGAAAAATCTCGGACCTTTTGGTGACTTTTTGGTCGGTTTAAAATTTTGTTCCCGAAATTTGAACATTCGTTAGAGCTCTTCTATTTTTCCACGTGCTATTCGATCTCATTCCCGCTCGCTCTCTTGATCTCAGCTCGATCGGGTACCTTTCACTTCCAAAAAAGCACACGGGCGGGATCGGTTATTTCGGGTCATCTTGTGACGCGATGACGGTTTTCTGAAGATAACTCGAGCTTTAGGACAGCTGCAGAGCTGGTAAGCACAGCTAACCAATGTACACTGATCAGGCGCGTTCGCCTGTTGAACCGAGAGGTCTGAACTCGGTCTGCTAGCCGAGCTAGGTCAGCAAACCTATTCGTATTATTCGAGCCATTTTCACTGACGCTCTTGGTTTTCTGTACTCAACTCGAGCTACAGGACAGCTACAGAGCTGATACGTACAGAATCTGATTCAGAATCATCAGTGCTCGTTGTCCGTTGAATTCAGAGCTCTGAACTCGGTCTGCTGCCCGATCCAGAATCGCGAAACTATGTGTATTGTTCGAGTTATCTTGAGAGATGCTGTCGGTTCTCTGCACTTAACTCGGGCTGCAGAGGGCTGCATGGCTGGTAATCACTGGAATCGATTCGGAGACATCAGGCGCGTCCGCCTTTCGAATCGAGAGCTCCGAACTCTGTCTGCTGCCCGAACCAGGTCCGCGAAACTATTCGTATTGTTCGAGACATCCTGAGAGGTGCTGTCGGTTTCCTGCACTTAACTCGGGCTGTAGGGGGGCTGCGGGGCTGGTAAGCACAGGAGTAGAGTCAGAGACATCAGACGCGTCTGCCTGTCGCATGCAGAGGTCTGCACTCGGTCTGATACTCGAGCTAGGTTTGCCAAACTATTCGTATTGTTCGAGTCATCTTGAGAGGTGCTGTCGATTTACGCACGTAACTCGGGTAGGAGAGCAACAGAGCTCGTACAGAAGACAATCCAGAAGCATTGGCGGCGTTCGGCTGTTGTATCCTACAGGTTTGAAATTGCTTGGGCTGAAACTTTTTTTCCGTGTAATTTTTTTCGACATTATATGTTGTCAGGAAGCTCTACGAGTCCCCCGGCGGTAAGAAAGGTTGACGGTTTACCGCCGGCGCCCAGTTTTCCTTTCTCGATCCAGAAGCTTTCTCTCCGTGTTCCGACGATCCAAGAAAAGAGCTTACCACATGCGCCGAAAAAAGGGGATCACAATATCTTATTCACACAAACATTGCAGTCGTTTCGAAAGGATTTGGATACGCTCCGAGTTAGGTTTCCCAAGGAAGGGTGGGACTTGTTCATCGGGATGGATGCTAACGTTGAGCTTCTGCCTCACACGGTATTTGGAGATGTTGCTTTGACTGGTTCTGCAGTGCAGGGTGGGAGATTTGAAGAAGGGGACAATGCAGGAGGAGGTGGACGTGGAGGTTTCCAGCAGGGTAGGAGGAGGATGCAACAATACATGTGTGACGAGCTCTGTGAATGTATGTGGCATTATGATTTGGTTTTCTCGAATTCTTTTGGGACCCGTCGTACGACCTGGAAGGCCAGGGAGGAGACGGAGGAGGAGGACAAGGTTCTTGATTACCTGTGTATTCCGAGCTCCTGGGAAAGGCCTCAGTGGGAGGTGTCGTGGTTAAGGCCAACACTCAGGGGCTCCGTGGACCCCAGAAAGACCCGCCTGTCGGACCATGCCCTGCTCACCTTGCTTGTCCCCGAATCGGCCGCTCCGACTCGACGTTGGAGAACGAAGCCACGACAAACGTTCACTCATTGGTGCTGCGACGAAGCCTCGGAATTGCAAGTTTCGGCTAACCTTGATCGTCGTTTGCATGCTGCAGCTCGTTACCCATCTGGTCTCTGCCCGGATGAATTGGCTCCTGTTATCTTGAATGCATGTACACAGGACAAGGAGTCATACACCAATGTCCCAAAGAAAATGCAGATCCCCAAAAAGACAGATCGTCATAAGGAACTTGATGATGAATATCGCCGACTGCGTCGTGAAGGAGGGGAGGAGGAGGAGCTCATCAGGGTTAAGAAAGAGAGAAGGAAGGAGATGCGTGCACACACTCGTCGTCGACTCGAATACGATCATCGTGACGGGAAGCTCGCTCGGACGGTGGTGGACAAATTGAGTTATGACGATGTGCTCACGGAGGATAGGGAGTTGTGGGAGAAGGCGCTCTATGCTCACGGGTTCGCCAAGTACCACTGTGCTGCGCAAGGGATACGTAACGTGGAGTGTATCGAGGAGAGGAGGAGGAGGAGGTTGCAGGACACGAACACAGTGGACGTCTCCCCCATTTCCATGTCCGTATTGTTACAGGCACGATCACGCTTAAAGTGTGGTAAGGCGGTGGGTAAGGACGGAGTTTCTCCTTCTATGTTGAAACGTATCACGTGGGTAGGTTTGCGTCATATTCTTCGGTTATTCCAAGACCTGTATCTTCAACGGTATCCTACTCCTCGGATTTGGTCTGAGTTGCTTGCGGTGTTGATGCCGAAAGCTAAAGATATCACTAAGTTGTCTGATACTCGTGCTCTCGTCTTACTTAGCAGCCTAAGCAAATGGTATACTTCATGTTTGGTTGAGATTGCTGAAGGTTATCTGAAAAGGGTCCCACAATATTTACATAACTACGGATTTTGCAAGGGAAGGCGCACGCACGAGATCACTGCCATGCTTAAGCATGCCACCACACACGCTCTGGAGTGGGGGAAAGATGAGACCCTGCACCTCGCGTCATTAGATGT